TTCTTTCTTTCTTTCTCTCTCTCTTTCTTTCTTTCTCTTTCTCTCTCTCTCTTTCTTTCTTTCTTTCCTTCTTTCTTTCTTTCTTTCTTTTTCTTGACAGAGTTTCACTCTTGTTGCCCAGGCTCGAGTACAATGGTGCAATCTTGGCCCACTGCAGCCTCTGCCTCCTGGGTTCAAACAATTCTCCTGCCTCAGCCTCTAGAGTAGCTGGGATTACAGGTGCCCACCACCATGCCTGGCTAATTTTTTGTATTTTTAATAGAGATGGGGTTTCGCCATGTTGGTCAGTCTGGTCTTGAACTCCTGACCTCAGGTGATCCACCCACCTCGGTCTCCCAAAGTGCTGGGATTACAGGCATGAGCCACCGTACCAGGCCCCTAGAGGTACTCTTATACTCAGTCCTGAGTGTTGGGGTTCCCTTGGTTATAAATCTGGTAAAATCTCACCTTCCTGCTCTCTATTCGGGACTTTCTCTTGTCTCTGACCCAGTTGCCACAGGTCCATCAGCGATTCAGCTTTCAGAAGGGAGACCCACCCTATGGGTAGATGTCTTTTAAAATCTCTTTATTGTGGTTGAAGTGGGGCTTATAGAGGGGACGCTATTGAATGGGTGTGTACTTAATTTGCCATCTTAACCCAGAGGCTTTTGTGGCTGTTTTAGAAAGACTATGCCCATTCTTAGGTCCAGGCCTGATACCATACACAGTGTCCACACACAGGGGCTCTGACCCCACAGGGTTCTTTGGGTCCTGATCAGTGATCTTTCTAGAGCCTCGCCTATGACCTGCTTCTGGCCACAGAAACAGCTGATAAATGAAATTTGTTAGTTTCCTACAATGGGGCGTTGCATCGGCAGTGAACATAGGGACAAGAGGGCGTGCTTATCACCTTGCTGACTTGTCCCTGAGACATGGGGGTGACCTTTAAGAATGTCAGCTGAAATATTAACAGAGGTTTTCCCTGGGTGATGAGATCTGATAATATCAAAACTTTTTTCTCTGTTATGTTTCTCTGCATTTAATTTTTCTCCACTGACTATATGTTAGTGGTAGAAGTGTTACAATATTTAAAAATGAGAACATCAAAAAATTAGCCCAGAGTGGTGGTGGCATGTTCCTGTGGTCCCAGCTCCTCAGGAGGCTGAGGCAGGAGGAACTCTTCAGTGCGGGAGGTGGAGGTTGCAGTGAGCCAAGATCTCACCACTGCACCCCAACCTGAGTGACAGAGTAAGAGCCTATCTCAAAAAATAAAAATAAAAATGAGAAGAAAATCCTATCTGTCCTTCAATAACCAGCTCAGCCACTGCTACCTCCTGGGATTCTCCCGTATTCCCACTGTTGCGAATGCTTCCTGCATCACATTAAATAAACTGCATTTTCTAAATATCAATTTGATTTCTGGGTTTGTCTCTCTTCTCCTGGGGTGTGGACAGCTGGAGATGTGCTCTGAGCACATCACATGTTTGGACGGGAGAGGCACGCAGGCTCCCAGCCCTGACATGTGGGCAGGTGAGTAAGTATGCAGGCTCTGGAGTGACTCTGGATCCATCATGCCCTCGCTCTGGGCTGGAGCTGGTCACAGCTGTTCTGGCCTCAGTCTCCCCTTCTGTAGATGTGACCAGTTTGAGGGAGAGGGTCATTGACTCCATGTAGGGCTGAGGACCGTGCTCCACGCAGAGTGCAGAGCCCAGCCGCTGCCAGGTTAGGTGTTTGTAAATGAAGTCAAATACAAGCCACATACAATTTCACGTCGTAACCATTTTTAAGTGTAGAGTTCAGTGGCATTGGGCACATTCACACAGTTGTGCAGCCATCATCACCCTCATTTCCAGTCGCTTCCCGTAGCCCCTCCCAAGTCCCTGGCACCCCTCTTTTTGCTTTCAGTCTCTACGGACGTGGCCACTCCAGGGACCTCATAGAAGTGCAGTCCCACAGGATTTGTCCTTTAGTGACTGGCTGATCTCACTTG